CCTCCTCAAAGTCATATACCTAGGGAACAATAGAGGAAATACCAAAGCCTCTTTTCTTACTGAAAGTTTGTAGTCCTTTTCCACATTGTCACACACACAGCCAAGCCACACAACAGAGTTGTTTGTGTCTCTAAGGCCATCTGACCACACTGGGGACAAGAACCTACCAACTCTTACAGACTCAGAGCAGGGTTTCCCAAGAGGTTCAGTTGGGATCATTGAGTGCATGGTAAAAAGGATCTGGTTCTCAGAACAGAACCATACTTCAAGGAAAGTGGTGAGAAAATAGTTTCCGGTTTTAAAGAGTCACAGGTAATTCTGACACAGCCAAAGCATCTGAGATTAACAGTGCGGGATAGAAAGCAGAGGCATTAAGTCCTCTTGGAGTTCTTCTCTGGCTTTACCCAGTCTTCTCATCTGTATCCCCACCCTCTCTCCCGTCAAGAAAATGTCCCAGAGGGCCCCAGACTCCATGAATCAAGCTGTGGAAGGAAGTAGTTTCTGATAGGGTCTAAGGAGGTGGAAAACCTTTCTCTCCGCAGCAGAAAGAGAAGCGATGCTGGAGTGTGCCCGAGGCGTGATTACTCAAGGAGTCCCCACCATGCTCTGTTTCATCCTCAGGTTGCTGACGGGGGTTTGGAGTGCTCTCTGGAATGAGTCCACTTGTTCCTCTTTCTTTTGACATCATTTCTCCCTCTCCCTGGAGGTCGTAGAATTTGAAACCAGGGTCTTGCATTTGCTGATCTATACCCACATTTTCTTCTTTTGCAATTCTTTCTCTTTTCTTTTGTTCCTGAGTGGTAAGGAGCCTCAGAACCTCAGCTCACAGCTTCACTTAAGCACTGGGAAATTAAGTGAGCTCATCCACAATGTAGAAAAGCAGGAGAACAAATACCAGGCAAAAATCTGTATACACAGTCTACCGCATAGCCACAGGGTTGCTCTAGTTTCTACTCAAGTGCCAACGGATCACCACATCAGTTCCCCACAGACTGGTACATCTCGTATAAATAGATCCTCACTATCACCCACTCCCACTAAATGCTGCCATCAGCTCTGAACAAGGACTCAGCCTACAGGCTCTGGCAGCTTGTTTGAATAACTTCTATGATAGGGAATTGACCTCTCCTTCAGCCCCCTTTGCTGGCTCACAACTTAAATCCTCTACGTGATAGTCTGGTCCATCTTTGTCACTCTCTTTTATTCCCCAGTTCCTGACCAGGACAACACATGGAAAGCCCATGATAATTTGTTCCCTCATTCTTTTCTCTCCCAGGCAGTTGCACCTCAGGGCCTGACACAGATGCCTTAGGGCATCGCTACCCCAACAACCTGCCCTCTTCCCTGCTGTCTCAAGGTGAGCAGAGGCTGCTCCTGTCTGAGTAGGAGGCATATGCAAGCCCAGGCTGGAGCAAAGAGTGGGAACCCTGCTTCTCTTCACCCTGAGAGCACGTTTTCCTACTGGAAACACATGAAAAATAGCCAGAAGTTTGAGGAATTGTTTTAGAATAGATTTCCCTTCCCCATTACTGTAACAGCCTCTTGATTTTACAGTATAGCTTTAAGGTTTGAAAATGATTTCTCTTTCTCCAAAACTCAGGATGAAGTGAGCATTATTACTTTTATTATGTATAGCAGAGTGGTTAGGATGTGAAATATGAAGACGTGGGAAGGGTGTCAAAACCCAGTTCCATCGGTTACTAGGTCAACAAATTTGAAGAACTTATTAACTTTTTAAGTCTCATCGCCTCATCTAGAAAATAAGATAAGAGAAATAAATATTTTGTTAAATATTACATCTTATATTGAGAAATTATAAATATACCTCTGACCAAATAAAAAGTATCAGGGCCGCGGATTTAGCTCAGTGGTTCTGCCACCTGCCTTGCAAACTCAAGGACCTGAGTTTGATTCCAGGTACCAAAAAAAAACAAAAAGCAAAAAACACCAAAATAAAGAGTATCAATCTGTTTGTTTGCTTAACAATCATGTGTTATAAATTGGACACATGCTTCTGACTAACATCTCCTTCCACTCTAACACCTGGAGTAGAAATCTTTGGTTTATCTTACTTGAGAGGTTTTTGTTGTTGTTGTTGTTGTTGTTGTTGTTGTTTTCTTTTTTTGGTTTTTTGTTTATTTGTTTGTTTTGGTACTGGGAATCGAACTCAGAATCTTGCAGTTGCAAGGCAGGGGCAGTGACAGTGAGCTAATTACGTTGGGAGGTGTTTTTTGTTTTTGTTTTTTTTTTACCTTCTTGGAGGTGGTATTGTTTTATCATTATTTGGAAATTATTTAGTCATTCTTCCTTTGAGTTGTTTCTTTTCAGTACTGAGGATTGAATCCAGGGCCTTTCCACTACGCTACATCCCTAGCCCTTTTTAACCTTTGTGACATGGTCTTTCTTGAATATCTCCATGCTCAGTTGCAAATGAAGTCACTTCCTTTGGGAAAAAAATCAAGGACTACCTTAGGGTTGATTCTCATACAGGAGATGAAATATGAAAATATTATATATCCCAATGTGTTAGATGCTAAACATACACACCTTCTTCTGCTAAAAATCTTTTCTGACTCTTCCCTGCACCTAGAATAAAATTTTAAGCTGGGTATGGTAGCGTACAACTCAGTACTGAGGATTGAACCCAGGGCCTTTCCACTACACTACATCCCTAGCCCTTTTTAACTTTTGTGACATGGTCTTTCTTGAATATCTCCATGCTCGGTTGCAAATGAAGTCACTTCCTTTGGGAAAAAAATCAAGGACTACCTATCTTAGGGTTGATTCTCATACAGGAGATGAAATATGAAAATATTATATATCCCAACATACACACCTTCTCCTGCTGAAAATCTTTTCTGACTCTTCCCTGCACCTAGAATAAAATTTTAAGCTGGGTATGGTAGCGTACACCTGTACTCCCAGGACCCTGGGATCCTGAGGCAGGAAGAACAAAAGTTTGAGCCAGCCTTGTCAACTTAGCAACTTAGTGAGAACTTCTGTCAACAAAAAACCCTTAAAATAGGGGTGGGGGGACATTGGGGATGGAGCTCAGTATGATCACCCTGGATTGAATCCCCAGTACAGAGAGAGAGAGAGACAGAGAGAGAGAGAGAACAAAAGAATTAATGGTGGCAACATTTTATATTTACTAAAGGTAGGGGGCGAAACCAGGCTCTGCCCTATGAGTTGGCCCAAGCAAAAGTAGGAAACAGGAGAGAGAAAAAAACCCTAGGGTGGGCTACCATGAAGAGCCACGATAGCCAGTACATTTTAAATCTTCACAAGGCTCCATATGACCTGGCACCCATTCCTTGCATAATCTCATATCTCACCAATCTCATCTTCACTCTAAACCATTTTTGGTTATTTGACCATATTTAGTTTTCTAAAGGTGACAAAATCATTCCCACCCAGGGACCATTACCATGAAGCTCTCTTCCTACAGCACTCTGGTCAAGACTCCACAGAAGTAGTTATTTTCATATTTAAAAATGTTTAAAGCTATTAAAAGGGGAAGAGTGGCAACCAACCTTCGAATAGTGGAATTCTATATAATTGACATGTTTTTTCTTTTGTGAATTCTTAAATTTTTATTCTGTATACATTAGGTTTTCAAACCGAAAAGACTCCAATGCTAATCTTTATATTTTGAAATGTGTTAAGATATAAAATATTGATTTAATTATTCCCCAAAAATAATGACTAAACTGTCCCAATGCTATTTCTTAAACAGTGCAAATTTTATCTTCCTGATTAAATGATTTGGTGTCTATCTGTGAATTTTCTACCAGTTCTACCAATCTGTTTGGTCCAGTATCAGTACCACACTATTCTAGGGTCCTTGACATTTGATAGAGCAAGTGTCACCTTATTACAGTACTCACAATGCCTTTCCTTATTTTCATGTTTCATTTTCGATAAAATTTAATTTTGCTTCCTAAAAGCCCCATTATTATTTTGACATCAAATAGGTTTCATTGCAGATTACTATAAGAAGATATGTGCTTTAGCAAAATTTCATCTATCAGAAATCTGAACTATCTATCCATGTATTGAGTTTTCACTTTAACCTCACTGAAGAATTTGAGAGTCATGTCAGGTTTGTGTTAATACCTTAATGCAGATTTGTTGGTAGTATAGCAGAGGTCATTTTGCATTATATTTGGCCTTATTTTTCTGATTATTGTTATATATAAAAATAATGGGTGATATTTGTCAAGTGCTGACTGCATACCAGCTCCTTGTACTAAGCACTTTATTACTTACTTGTATCTAGCCATGACCCCTGGGACTCTGCCTAAATTTTCCACTAGCAAGAAGTAGAATCCAGACCTAACTTCAAGTACTCTGAAACCTCTTTCTATCTCTACTAATCGTCCAGTGGATTGTCCTGCTTTCCCGAGATAAATCATCATATCAACAAATAATTTTCCCTACTCCTTTCAAATATTTTCACTTACCACTTTTAATCTGTGGGTTGTACTATATCCGTTTCTTATAATGCATACACTTGCATAAAATAAAAATTTTGAAACCTATACAATATCATAACATACTATAAAATTGTGAAATATTTCAAGAGTATTGTAAGCAAATAGAATTTAAAGTAAGACTTAGACATTATTCCTCTCACACCAAGTTGCCAGATTAGAAGTTGTTAGAATAATTACACTGCATAAAAACTTCCCCAATGCTATTTTTGTGCCTATTGTTGATTGGCTGCTTATGTTTTTTAAAAATTATAAACCTTGGTCTAAGATGTTTAGGGAGACATAGTCTTGCTCTGTTGCACAGGCAGTCTTTGAACACCTGGATTCAAGCTATCATCCTTCCTTAGCCTCCTGAGTAACTGGGACTGCAGGCTCATGCCACAGAGCCCAGCTCTAAGATAATTTGAATGTGAAGTAAACAGATGATGTTGCTTACCTTCATGTCCTCATCCAATGGAGAGCACTTGGTAAGAATTTGTTGGTGCTCATATTGCAGACAAGTAGGAAATGCATGGAGGCAACCAGAGTGAGGACTCCGAATTTCTACTCATAGGCCTTTCAGAGGTTCCTGAGCAGCAACAGATCCTGTTTTGGACGTTCTTGTCCATGTACCTGGTCACAGTGATGGGAAATGTGCTCATCATCCTGGCCATCGGCTCTGACTCCCGCCTGCACACTCCCATGTACTTCTTCCTGGCCAATCTCTCCTTCACTGACCTCTTTTTCATCACGAACACAATCCCCAAGATGCTGGTGAACCTTCAGTCCCAGAACAAAGCCATCTCCTATGCAGGGTGCCTGACCCAGCTCTATTTCCTGGTCTCCTTGGTGGCCCTGGACAATCTCATCCTGGCTGTGATGGCATATGACCGCTATGTAGCCATCTGCCGCCCCCTCCATTATACAACCGCCATGAGCCCTAAGCTCTGTACCTTTCTCCTCGCCTTGTGTTGGGCCCTATCTATCTTCTATGGTCTCATTCACACCATCCTCATGACCAGGGTGACATTTTGTGGGTCCCGCAAAATTCACTACATCTTCTGTGAGATGTACGTCCTGCTCAGGCTTGCGTGTTCCGACACCCAGATCAACCACACCATGCTAATTGCCACAGGCTGCCTCATGTTTCTCACTCCTTTTGGGTTCATGATCGTGTCCTATGTCTATATCGTCAAAGCCATTCTCAGAATACCCTCAGCCTCTAACAAGGACAAAGCTTTCGCTACCTGTGCTTCGCATTTGGCTGTGGTTTCCCTCTTCTATGGTACACTTTGTATGGTATATCTGCAGCCCCTCCATACCTACTCCCTCAAGGATTCAGTAGCCACAGTGATGTATGCTGTGGTGACTCCCATGATGAACCCTTTCATCTACAGTCTGAGGAATAAGGACATGCATGGCGCTCTGGGAAGACTCCTAAAGAAACCCTGTCAGAGGTAAATGTGACAGTAATTTGGAAAGAAGCAAGGAAGTGGAGACTGAGAATAATCTTCACCACATGCAAGTCATTATCCTATGGGTTATGCAGCAGCAATTAGGACATAGCTTCAGCTGAGAATGAGACTTTATCTGTGGTGGTGATAGAACACGCAGTTGTTGCCAGTGTCCCCAGATCTCACTACCGTTGGTAATAAACGAGCTCACACTGATACTAATAATAGAATTTTGCAGTACCAAACTTTTCCACTCGCCTGGACCATATTCAGCCTCTTCTGATAATCAGCAGATGGTCAACAATGGCTTTCAGCAGCACCCCCCAATCCTGAGAAGCGGCCTCCCCTTGTCCTCAGCAGCTGGCTGGCCTGCACACCCCTCTTATAGAAACCCTGCCTACCTGTAAAGTGCCAAGTGGCCCACATAGAATCTCATCTTAGAAAGGTTCAATGAGCTACACAAGAACACAGATATATACCTACACAGATCAGGAAACAAACGCATGAATAAAGTGTGAAGTTCAATAAATGTATCATAAAAGGGAATGAAGCATCATTCGGGAGTTACATAATAAAATAACAGAAGTGAAATAAATGAATAAAGAGCTTCAAGAACAGACTAAATCAAGCAGAAAATAATCAGCTACTCAAAAACAGGCTACTTAAGATTATACTGTTGAGAAATAAAAAGGGAAAATGAAAAAGAGTAAAGAATATCTATGGGGCTTATGAAATACCAATGTAGAGAGAATGAAGTTTCAAAATAAGAGAAATAGAAAGGAGCACAACTTTTATTTTTAAAAATAATTCTAGTAGTGACACCCACAACATGGTAAAAAAGAGGTCTCAGTGTCCCCCACCCCAACCCCACAAACACAGAAGTTCACCTAGCAGCTGTCTCCAGGTAAGAGAACCTTAGTTAAATAAATGAATACTCAAAACTCAGATAAAGGCCTCAGACACCAAATGGACCACAGTACCTCAAAAAAAAAAAATTGCATCAGAAGAGGAAGAGAAAAGGTTTCACTTTAAGAAAATCATCCATTGTTGTCCCTCAAGTTGGCAAAATTCCATCAAGAGAGTTATTTTCCCAGATTTACAGTTATTTAGAGAAAGGGAAACTAAAGGCAGACATCCAACTTCCCTAGTCTTCCAGGATGCCTCTCAGGAAGCCCACTTGGGTCTCAATTCATTGGAAACCACTGGAGCAGTAGCACAGCAACACTGCCTGAGGTCAAACAAAAACAGACAGGAGGCATTGTTCTCAGCCAGTGCTCAGATTCTGGTGGTAGCTCTGTGTTATGGCCAGTGGAGGTGCCCAATATGAGGTACCAGTAGTATAACCCACCCACAAAGCCAAACAGGTTGCCCCAGTAGTATAATGCAAATTTCAATCTGGCGTAAGTCCCTATACAGCCTCTATGGCCAGCCTCAGACCCCACTCCAGGCCCCACCCAAGGAGAGCCACAAAGAATTTCACAAAAGTGCAGGAGTTAAGACTTGTGCCAAGTGGGCATTCAAGCAGTGGCTCAGCACAGCCTCCAAGCTGATCCTAAGATCCTGTCCAGGGAGCAAGACATCACAGCACTTTTTGACAAATCACAGGAGCTACATTTGTACAGCTTGGGCATTCAAACAATGGGTCAACTTAGCCTCAAACCGCATCCCAAAAGCCACCCAGGGAGGGAGATGCCTACCACACAGTCTTTTAGCAAATGCAAGGCCAAACTTACCCACCCAGAAGTTCATACAATGGCTCTGCTCAGCTCAACCTCAAACCTCAAAATCCATCCTAAACTTCCACTCCAGCAGGGAGACAATCCTCAACTGAGTATAGCAGTTGATCCCAACCATCCTGAGCAAAATCTGGCCTAACCTTGGGACCTATTCTGCAGCCCAACCCAACTGCAGAACTCAAGTAATTGATCTGGGCAGGGAATGGACCGTGTGTTCCCACCACCCAGTTAGAGGTGATTGCGGTTCTCAGCCAGGAGCCTTGCCTGACTGCAGAGCCCAGCCAGTGGTCTAATCGGAAATTGGATCCTAGCTCCATGCCAACCTCAGAGTAAAGGTTTAGGCCCAGAGCACGAGAGAAATCTGATAATAAATTCTGGCTTCCCCGTGTCATTGCTACAACCTGGTCCATCCAGAATCACAACTAGGCTTTATAGTGAAGGTTAGGTTTCCAACACTGAGCGCTTTGGAGGCCCTGGAGATCTGATACTGTAGCTGAGATCCTGGCTAGGGCTGACTCCCGCTGGAGGGCTGGAGGGAGCTGCCCACGTGGCCTTCTCACTTCCCATCTAGGATGCTCCCAGGCCTCCCCCTTGGCTCAAGGCTGAGTATCCAAGGATCCTTTCTCCAGCCCAAGCAAAGCCACGGGTTCCTTAATTTTCTACAGGTGGGAGTGTGTGGATTCGCAAAACCCACTCCAAGACCAGCTGTCTACCTGGAAAATTGTGAACTTCGTCCAGCAGTTTCTGCGGTGTTGAGGCACCCCGACCCTGCTAGCAGGGTCCTACACCACACCACAGAAGTCTCCGGAGACCCAGAAGCCCGGGTGCCACCCAGTTCGCGCACCCTGGAGGGATTGACCAGAGAGGCACACCCACCCAGGAGGAAAGCCAATGAGAAGATAGGAAAGGCGGGCCTCCTTCAGAACCAGCCAATGAAAAGTGCAGAGTGAACGAAGCTAAAATTACTTTCCTTGGCTGCAACCCGCCGTCTTTCCCTGTCTAGCAGGTTGCGCGCGCCATCCGGTGGCAGCCGAACCGGGATAGCATAAGTCTTAGAAAATTAAAATCCAGCTGTCCTAAAATTCGTAGGGTTCTCCAGATTCAGAAAAAATGACCCTCTCCGCCCGCTAGGGAAAGAAATTATACCGAGCCTCCATTTTTCCTTAACTTTCATTCCTTCTCACGAATGAACCTATTGCCTAGGTTCTCTCATGCAAAAATTCTCAAAGAAATATCAGCACATTAATTTCAGGAGTACAATAAAAAAGCAATACATGTCGACAGTGGCCCATCAGCTGTTAGACGGCCAGTCATTTGACAAAATTCTGCATTACTTATTTTTAAAACAAATTCTTAATAAACTGGACTTAACACAATTTAGTAAAGACTCAGAAAGCCACAGCGAATCTCACTCTGTGTGAAACACAAGAAGCAGTCCTATAAATCAAGACGGATACAAATACCCCTGCTATCTCTGGTTTTAATGTTTTAGAGAGCCTGGGCAAAATGTAGCACCTTAAAGGGGGCAGGGTAGTTAAAACGGAGAGACAGGGTGAAAACAATGTATTACTTCAGGTGAAATGATGTGTGCTTGAAAATCAAAAAACATGAAAAGCTAGAGAATTCAGTAACATCTGCAAGAAGGGTACACTTGTGTGCAGAATCTTAACAGTATACAGAAAACAAAGAAATATACAAAGAGGAAGGAAGGGAGGGAGTGAGAGAGGAAAAAAGAAAGAGAAGAAAGGAAAAGAAGGAAAGAGAGAGGAGGAAGGAAGGAGGGAGGGAGGGAGGGAGGGAAAGAAGGCCTACAGGTTTCCTATACGATAGCATCAAAGCATTTAAAATGTGCTGTGGAGGAAAAGAGTCCATTCACCGGAGAATGGAAGGCAGATTTTTATTATTTTTATTATTATGCAGATAACATGATTGCATGCTTTAAAACACAAAAAGACTATGAAAATTATTAGCAACAATAAGAGAATAGAGTGATTAGCTGTGTGCAAAATCAATATACAACAATTAATAGCATTTCTGTATACAAACAACAAGTAAAAAATACAATGAAAGAAAAATATCTCATCATAGCAGCAAAAAGGGAAAGCAACTAAGAATAAATAAGAAATCTTCATTTTCTTCTATAGACTACTGGAATACATTTTTTTAAAAAGAAATCTTCAAATAATAAAAAGATATAACCCTGCTTCTAGGTAGGAAGTTTCAATATAATATGAATGCTAAATCCCTTTAAGTTAAACTTTGAATGTGACCCTAATAAAAATTTTAAAAAGACATTTGGGAACTAGAAAAGTTGCTGTTTAAAATTATAAATTTGCAATGAAATCAAACAAATAACATAAAATTTCTTTGACCCGAAATCACAAATATCAAAACTGAAAAGATCACATGCCCAAAACAATTAAAAAATTTTAATTTACACCAAGATATATCATCACAAAATTTCATATTAACTATATTTCAGATTCTAAACACTTCTAGGGGAAAAAATGACCAATTACAAAAACTCAAAAGTCAGAATTATAGGACCAGGCATTTAGTTCAGTGGCACCGTCCCTGCCTGACAACTGGAGGGTCCTGATTCCCGGTACCAAAAAGAAAAAGAATCAGAATTAGAATTCTGGATGCTAGAAGATAGCAGAGCAATGCCTTCAGTATTATGTGGATATATTATCAACTACAGTATACAGCCAAACTAGTAACTCTAGGTATAAAAATAATCGAGCATAAAAGCAGAATACAGATATTTTCAGACATGAAAGAACTCAACACATTTGACTCCCTTTCTTTTCCCCAAGAAGCTGGGGGGAGTGAGGGCGGAGCAGCTCCAGAAAAACCAAGGAGCAAGTCAAAAACAAGAAGTTCGTGGATTCTAGAAAAATCACAAGTCCACCCCAGTGAGGAAATACAACATCAGGATCATAACTGCAGTGGCCATGTGGAAACAAAGAGACAAAAGACCCCAGAGAGCTCTGTGCCAGGAAAGTAGCCTACTGATGAGACTCTGTGCAGGAGAATGTCCTTGGCAAGCTAAAACTGAGGTAATTATTCACTCTGGGGAAAACAAAGCTGTACAGGAAAGGAAGTAGAATTCGACTTAACTTGGTAGTGAGTGATATCTAAACCATTATAATGACTAGTATACCTTTGTTGCCCCTAAAAGTAAAAATATTGTTGTGTTTTAGGAAAATGAAGGAGGGGAGGAGGGTGTAAGAGAAGTAATTACATATATGTCCTAAGAGGATAGCAATAA